CTGCTAGGGGGCAATATGTAGCAAGCAAAACCACATTAAGGCATTTTATGTCGGTATCTTATCAAAGCTTTTTCTTAAAAAAAGGACCCAAATCCAAAAAAATAGCCCACATATTGGTATAAACAAAATGTTCAACCTTTCCTTGTGGGTAATGTGTATTTCTTTTAGCATATGTGTGTGTGTGTGCAGATGACTTCCTTAATATGCACCCTCCCTATCTCAGCAGGGTCCTTCTGAGTGACTCTTGAGTTTTCATTCTGAAATCTATCATAATTTATGTAAAGCAAAAAGATAAGAATGTGGACATTTCAAAGTCTTCAGTCACGGGGTCTCGTAACTCTCCTGCTTCTTCCTTGTTGAGAACAACTGAGAGAGTTAACTCAGGTGTCTTTATGACTTTTTTGTTCTACCACTTTCTTACACTCCCTAAAAAAGAAAGCAAGAGGAGATAAGGGAAGGCAGCTTCGGCAACATTATTGGTTTCAGGAAAATAGTTGTTCATTTCTTTATATATACTCATGCTGACCTGATGATGCTCATCCTAGAAATAGTGCAGGATATTTCTGTAAAAACTGCACGGTGTGAATGTAATATTTAAATTCATTTTAATGCTAAAAATATTTTTTTTGTCTGAGAATACTCAGCAGCTATGCCTGATTATGACTACAATATCAATCAGCTGCTTGACTGAGCCTGTGGCTAGTCAGGGAGAAAATACACCCATTTCTGGAGCAGGTTTTTGGTGCTGGTTCACCTGGTGATCAGTGGAGAAGTCCAACTGTCTAAATGAGGAAAGGCTGCAGCATAATGTGCCAAATTTCGGTGGGGGGAAATTTATCATTACTTAGTGTTAATTTTTGCAAGAAGAGTTTGAGAATTTTCACAGCTGCAACTGAAAACTGAACAAAGGAGCAGGTATTTTTAAGTTTGAGGGGGTTTTTTTTATGGATTCAGTCTTGTTTCCCATGTTGTTCAGAGTGAGAGACTGATTGGAGATTCAGAGGGAGAAGTAGCTGCTGTGGAGACACCAGCCATGCACAGACCCCAGTTTCTGTCCTCATGTTCTCACCTCTGGGGTTCACAGAGGTTTGTCTGCTCCAGGTGAACGCAGTGCTTGCTTATTTCTGTGCTGGAAATGGCACAGGGCTCCTCGTACCTGATGCATCTCACAGGGAAGCAATTTCAGAATCTCTCTGACTTTGCTGCGCTTTGCAAGGTTGTTGTGGCATCTCCGTGCTCTGGATTGCAGCTGGTGGCTCAGTGTAATCCACAGCATTCCAGGATCTCTGGGAGAACTTCCACAGAGAGCAGAAAGGTGGTTTAGGAGCTGCTGCAAGCATCTTGTTTCTATGCCTTCTCTTTCTTGCTCTCCCATGTTACCTCGCTCCTAACAAAAAAGGAACAGCTTTAAAGGTATTTGTATGGTCCATAACCTATGGAGCTCTTCTAAACACAAATGCTGCCTAAAGGTCAGTTCTTTTATTCCAGCAATGAAAAATACAGGCTTATTAACTGCAAATATGGGAATTACCTGGTAGTGCCTGTGCTAAGGAAGGTGGAAACTCCTAAGCATCTGATTTTCACCAAATGCCTTCTCAAACCTGGTTCATGGATGGGATTGAAATTGATATCAAGTGCTTTTCAGCTTTCCTACACTCTTACAGAATGTGGATGTTTTGAGTCAGGTGAGGAACACTTTAAAGTATTCCTTTAAAGTATTTAAAATTCTGTGTTGTACACTTGGCAGGGTGTTTTGTGATTCATAGCAAATATTGGGAGATGACAAAGCAATACATGATAAAGTCTAAAAGAAGCATTGGGTGGGTCTGAGTCTATGTGCCAGGAATATTAGGGACTTCTGCTGACTGGAAATCCATGGGTTTTTAAACAATCACCTGTGGGTACAGAGGAGAAAGGGTGGATTGGTTTTATAGCTGTGTTGAAATATATTAAGTGCTTCTTTGAGTCTTTGTTGTAGTGTCTTCTGCTTAGTAAATAGAAGAGAGTGGGTTAGTCAGCATTAGAAGGAAGCAAAGCTAGCAATTTTTACAATGCTCTCCTCTTTCAGCTCCCAACAAAGAGATTAGGATGTCACTCTACCTGAATTAAGGCATTAATGTGATTTGCACTCTTCATCTAACACCTACTATCTTACCATAAATAATTCTGAACATGAATTTATTTTGAGATTGAATTATTGCCCTTGTTTAATATAATTACCACAAAATAGAGATTCATGGTTTTAAGTCTTCAAAATACTCCATTCCATGTAAAAAGTTCTTTTGTGTTCTGCAACAGAAGGCTTTGACCTCTGCCAAATCAGCACAAGTGAACTGGTTATAATCCCTGTGTGTTTGTGATTACCAAAGTGGTTTGGATGGCTTTACTGGGTATTAAATCCTGACATCACCTTTGAGTACAGAAATCAAACTCGTTGTAATTAAGATTCTATCAAGAAAGCTCTCACAATTCACATCGTTTCCAGTAGTCATAATAAACCAGAATTGTGTGATTCACTGCCTACCTGAAGCATTTGTTCCTTCCGATATTGCCAGGCTGCTGATGTGTGAACAGAAGTATAAATATTTACCTGTGGATGGGGGATTGTTTGGGCTTGCACAATAGTCCTGAATCATCTGAGCAGGTCTCCTTGCTCTGTGCTGTGGACTTAACAAATACTGCTCAGAAGTGCAGCTCCAGGGCACGGGGAGGTTGTTTGGACTCAGTGAAGCTTGTGATTTTTCTGCTCTAAAGCTATTCCGTCCCAGCTGTAATTTCTAAACTAGGACTTTTCAATTCACGGGTCCATTATGAGATGTACTGACTACTCAGATTCATAGGAGAAGGTGCTTCCCTTCCAATATCCTCTGTAATCTGCTGAAGTCACTTGGTTTTACTTAGTAGAGGCGTGAAAGGAGAAAAAAGAAGAGTGGACTTTTACAGCACTTAACCCACTGTTTATACAAAGTTGTTTCAGACATCCTTCCAAATAAAAATGCAGGTTATGAAGTTCCAAAAGTTATTTTATTATTTTATGAATATTTTACAGCTTGAGTACACAGGGTTCTGCAGCTGATCACACTTGTTTCAATTCCCATTGTTCAGGGATTCTGCCTGCATGTGCATGTATATGTTGGGAAAAAGAGAACATACATATATAAGGAATTGTTACAAACATGCTAATTGCTCCCATGAGACAGAGGATTTATTTTTTTGGGGGGGCTGCATCTCTATATTATTCCAGAAAAGGCTTCTTTAACTGTTACAAGTGGCTCAGTGAGTTGGAAGACGCTGCCCCAAGATCACAAGCGTGGCCTCTGTTCTGAGGGAGCTGTTGGAGACTTTTAAAGAAAGGCCAAGAGCAGCAGCACAGATCTGCAGAGGTGTGGGTGTTCCACGCTGTGCACGCGGATATATGAGGATAATTGATGCCCAGATTTTGTGGTGAGGTGATGATGTTAATGAGCACTGAAGTTCCCAGGAAAGCAGCCTGGAGAGAGCCGCTTGGGGCACCAGATTTCCCAGAACTGGAACAAAGATCCACAAACTCGTGGTGTTTTCAAATCCCAGACAAGCATAACTGCAGCTGTGACTTCCATAATAATAATAATGTTTATCTTTCTCTGATAAGCTCAAGAGATGTACCAAGGTCTTGGCTGCATCCTCCTCCTCTGCTGCTGCAGGTTGTTCTCCATGTGAGCTCCTGCACGTCACCAGGTCCTTTCAGTGCCCTCCCAACATTACAGTTGGCTCAGGTTGCTTGGGGCCACGTGTGGTCGAGCTCTGACCATCTCCAGGGATGGATGGAGATTTGTAGCTTCGCTGGCTCCTTCCCCATCATGTTGTCACCCTTGTTGTTAGAGAATTGAGTTTGTTTTTTTTTTTTTAATGTCTGGTCGTAATTTCCTTTGTTGCAACTCGTGTCTGTAGCCTCCCATCCTTTTGCTGTGCACCTGTGGGAAGAATCTGGCACTGCTGTGTCTGTGCCTGCTCGGTTGGCAGTGGAAGGCAGAAATGGGAACCCAACATTTGCCTTTTCTTTGAGCTGCAGAGACAGAGTGTTGAACCAGTTGCAGCAACCACTGCCTGTTGTAATATAACTGCTATTATAGTGTACTCCTCTGCATGGCTTTGTTGTTTGGGAAAGCTAATTTGGCAGCCCATTAAAGGCTAAATTCTAAAATTCTTGCTTTATCTTCACTCTTTAAACGAGCAAGTCCTGCTCCTCTGTAGTTTAAAAAAAAAATACAGTGCTGCAGTATTTTACTTCAATGTCAAAATGAATAAAATTTTGGAACACTGTGCCTTGTATTGCTTGAATAAGTGAATATATGCAAACACTAGTTTGCATTTTGTCAGTTGTCTGGTTGCTGAGTTTGTAGTGAAATTTTTATATTAAATCCCTTAGCCTATCTATATATTTAAGTAGTAAGTGGAAACAGTTTAGATCTGTGGCAGGTTGAGAGGGAGAAAAGCCCAGATTTTCAAGACTACTTAAAGAAGGATGGTTCAGTAAATCTGATGCAGTATACAGGTACTTGAAGGGAGAGTCTCAACTTAACTTTTTAGCATGAACAGGTGCATGTTGAAGGAGAAAATGCCGACTGAAAAGGGGAGAGCACCATGCCACCTATCCTCACCAGCTCATTCTCAGGCAGTTTTCCTCTTTTTCCCCTCTTTTTTTCCTTCTGTTGCCAAGAAACAGAATCATTCTGTGAGACCATAAACACATCCTGGGACACCAGTGCAGGGAAAAAAGTTAACTGAGCACTGAGTTGACTGAGCACTCCTCCTCTGGACGAGGAGGAGACCCAGGTAGGGCTGAAGAGGGCTGAGGAAAGCTGAGAAGGGAGGCACAGAGAAGGGGTGGGAGCCCTGCCCGAGGGCTCATTGGCAGAAGAAGGCAGGAACAGGATACGTTTCAGCTTTTGGGCGGCTCTGGGAGGAGCAAGGGTTGGGAATTAAAAGTGTCTTGATAAAATTGGTCGTTTTCTTTTCAGACGGAGACAGTGAGTTTCATGGGGTGGATTTTCTGCCAGAAGATCTCAGCGAGGTTCCAGAGGAGACAGGAATGAGGGTGAACAAGAAATACTCCTGCCTACCTGCTGAGGAGAAGGGGATCCACATCATCAACATCCGAGCTATTGAGGACATTGGATATGACCAGCACGAGAGCACAGTGAGTAAAGGACTTGTCTCATAACAGGCATCCTGCACTTCACCCCTCAGCTTATTTCTCATTCCTTCCATTCCCAGGGTGCTCTGAAATCCTCTCCCTCTGGTTTTCAAAGGTGCTGGGAAGGATTGCCACCAGCCACAGGACAGGGTTTGTTCTTTGATGTGTGAAAAGGGGAAGCAAGGGAGCCTTGTTTGACACGTAGCCTAAAAAGGGGGTCGGCTCTTCTCAGAGTGAGGAATCTGGCAATAAGGCTGTGGCAACCTCCTTGCCCATATGGAGAAGAACAGAAAAGAATGTCTAAAATTTCATGGAAAAGCTGTTGTTGTCATAGGTAACATTAAACTAATATTGTGTGGCACACAGTAGAGGTTAGATATCCTGTGTCATTAATTGTGCCTTAGTTAAATTCTGTAACACAGATCTTAAAGGCAGTTAGTAATATGAACACCCAACATGATTACAGGTTGGTTATGTCATAAACACATAAAAAGAAGTTTATTCAGGTGAAGGAATCGAGGTGGAGTGGGCTGTGTAACAGATCTTGCTGGGGAAAGAGGTACCAGAAAAATCAGGACGTGTTTTATTGTGTTTGGGCTTAGTTAGGATGGAGGACTAATTTGTCAGGGCATAAACATCTCTCCTGCTGTGGTAAAACTGAAATGTCTTTCCTCTGTCTCATTCTCAACTGAAGGGACATGAGCTTTACATGGTCTAAGTCCATGCAAGTCTGTATTTCAGCACAGCAGCCCTGCAAGAAAGCCTGTGGCCCATGGGGACCTTTCAGCATTAATACCCCACCCTTAAAACAATCTGGCCACTTATTTCTTTGCATCCTGTTTGCAGTGGGACATAGCTACTCTCATATATTAATGAATTTACTGAGCCTTCAGCAGCCACAGTGCAGCACCTTCTCCTAAGTTATCAGCTTTCCACGTGGTCAGCTTTCCAAGAGGAAAGTCCAAAGAACTGTGAAGGAGCTCTCATTCTCATCTGGTGCTTCAGCCCAGTTTTTCAGGAACTGCTGTTTAATTAATTAACAAGATCAATGCATCTTTAAAAGTTAAATACAATAGAGTTAGCTACCATTTGTTAGTATTTGGTTCCTGTAGAAATTTGCATCAGTGAGTTGCCTGCCACAAGCTTGCTTTAAAAAAAAACCCTCCTGGGTTCACAGGTGCGTGCCAGTAATCATGAAACAATTGGAAATAACAGCTATTAATGGTCTTTTATATTGAAGTTGTGCTTAAGAACTAAATGGGAATATCTAGGTAGGGCACAAACATGAACAGCCTGTGCCCTGAAGAGTTTGTCATGGCTAAATAACCCTCCATGGAACAGGGGAAAGAGGGAAGAGGACAAAGAGTGAACTCCACGGTGGCACCAAATATTATATTGTTTTATTATGTATTTATTTATTTGGTGTAAAATGTTCAGGTTAGTGGAAAAGAGAGATACAATATATCTGATTACACTTGTCTAATGACTTCTTCAGCGTGATTTGTCCTCCCTCCAAACCCACAGAAATGGGCTTTGCTGCTTGAATTTGGTTGCCTGGGTAAACATCTCTCCCCAAGACAAAAAGGGGGGGACAGACTGTCCCTTAAAACCACTGATTTGTACTTGTGGCAGCTGGGACCTGCCCTGCCCAAAGTGAGGTTCAGAGAAGTGGCCAAATCTGTGTAACACTGAGTGGGTTTTGGTGAAGTCTGGGCTGTATTGGCAGTGATACGATGTACAGTAAGCTCAGAGGCTCCTCTTTTCAACTGGCATTTAAAGATTGGACTGTCTTAGAATCTGCTCCTTCCCAATAACTTACATTCATGGTTTTATGTACAAAACAAGCAGGTTTACACATCCCAAGTGGATTTTAACTGATGTTTTTCAGCTGATGGCCAGTTGCTTTCTTTTGTAGCAGAAATCCTTTTCCCTATGCAGGGCATTAACATTCTTTTGTAATATTAAAAGCCAGAAAATGTCCCTGAAAAGCTACTCCCATGATGAGTATTTTTTGTAAAAACAAATGCAAGTTACTAGTGAATCTTGAAATTTTTTAAATTTTTTTTTTGTCTGTGCAGCTCCAAGAGTAGAATTGTGAATTTTGCACAAGAAATGCTACGAAAGTAGAAATGAATAATTGTTAGTACTTTTTTTTGTGTTTCTGCAGTTGTGCAGTTTTCAGAGAAAGGCTTGGAAATGGAATCATTTGTAAAACAAATGCAAGTTACTAGTGAATTTTGAAATTTTTTAAATTTTTTTTTTTTGTCTGTGCAGTTCTCAGAGAAAGGCTTGAAAATGGAATCGCGTTGAATGTCTTGCCTTCCTTGCATCTTGCAGTGCTTACACAGCATTAATTCAGGTTGGGAATAAAGCCTTTGCCACCATCAGATTGCAGAGTGACATAGGTTTCATAAGTGGGGGAGAAAAAAGTGATGAAACTCAATAAGCAGCGAACCCACTTCCCTGGCCACGGTCCATCTGCGTTTTTGGCCGCGCTGCAGGACCAGCTGGCTCCCTTCAGTCTCTATCTAAGATGATCTCTTTCTCAGATGATATGAACTTGCAATGGTAGATAAGAGAAGTGAGAAATGTTTCCACATGATATTAATCTGTTTGTCAGAATTGCAACACTGCAGATGTCACGGGTGGAAAAGGACAGATGATCTTAGTGGCGATTAACCCCCAAAGGAGAAAACCAAACCCAACGAGTAGCTGACTTACGAACCAGTGTGCTGGTGATTAGATTAAATCCCAGCCATCTAATCTATTTATTTCTGGCCAGTAAAATCCCAGCTGGCTATCAGTAAAATTGAAGGTGTTAACTTGCAAAAATTTTGTGAGTAAGTAGCACGGTGGGGGGGAACACGATGACTCCTCCCATCTGCTGGCTCTTTGAACGCAGGTCATCGTGTGCTCCAGGCAAGAAGGAGGCCTTGATACGAGGGATGGTCTGTCTGGTGTCCGTGTTGGCCTGTGCATTCATTGTTCCTCTCTCTCCTTCTCTCCACACCCCCGTTCCCTGCTTCCAGCTCTTAAATTCCCTGTCCAAAAATCCGGATGCTGACTGCAAATACGGACTCTACTTCAGAGATGGCAAGAGGAAAGTAGACTACATCCTTGTTTATCACTACAAAAAGTCCTCAGCAGGGAAGACACTCGCCCGGAGAGCTCAGCAGAATGACTCAAGTGTCCGAAGCACCAAGCAGGACCAGCCACTTCCCGGGAAGGGAGTGCAGCTGGAAATGGGGGAAAGTGAACCTCACATGGATTACCATGAGGACGACAAGAGGTTTCGCAGGGAGGAGTACGAAGGGAACCTCGTGGAGGCTGGTCTGGAACTGGAACGTGATGAGGATGTAAGGATCCATTGCAAACAGTTAGAGAGGATAAGTGGTGGTCAAATCCTGGGAGATGCTGAGCCCCTCCTGTGAACCTGACTCTGATCAAGGTTGCACAAGCCCAGCTCTTGCAGAATTTGATGTCAGTTCTGGCAGTGCCGTCCTCACCCACGGATTTAATCCGCATCACAGGAGTGTGCCAAGGTGTTGTTGATGCCCCAGCGAGGTGAAGTCCCTGACTTTTCCTGGCCAGGACCCGTGGCACATCCATATTGCAACACAGCTCGTTGGTGTGTTGTCACATCTCTTAGCGAGGCTTAAATTGCTCTGAAGGCTGAGCCCAGTTTGGTGGGTTTACAAAATGCAGTGCTTTGAGTCCACTGGTAATTCCAGTTCTGAGGAAAAAAAATACCTGATACAGGGACATTTTCGTCCCTCTGTAGAGACCAGAAGGGAATTTAATTTGCAGGGGAGGTTTCTGGTGCACGCTCGGGCGCGTGGGTCCGTGCCGCAGTTTGCTCTTTCCATTCTTAGACATGAACAGTACAGCTTGTAACTCCTTTCACCTGTACCCTGAAACCACTACATTCTATTAAAAGACCATTAGCCTGTGTAAAAAAATGATGTGTGTGAAGTGCTGCCAGTGTGTGATTAGTAGGAATAGACACAGCCATATTCATTTCAAAGAAAGCTGTTACAATTAACTGATCCGACCAATATGCCAGAAACTCCTGAGGGAGAGGGTAAACATTTATGCTGGTTTTATTTACAGGATCTAAAAGCTGAGCTAAACATTTAGACCCCCTGAAAAGAGTGTTAGGAAAATAAATCCACCGCCTACTACTCACAAATTTGACATTTACGTATTTTATATATTATATATATTATATATATACATATGTAATATATATTTTTTGCATGGTCTAATGCAAAAAAACCTCAACAAACCTTTCCCTTCTCTGTCTTCCAGTGAAAATAAGACTTGCTTTCTGTCCAGCTTGCAGGTTGTTGCAGTGAACTGAAAGCTTGGCTGTGCCAAGTCACAGATATTTAAATCCTTTGCAAGATGGGAGGTCCCACCTGCGACATGTAATATGATTTCAAATTATGCAGAAGGGCTCAGGGTTCAAGCCAGGGCACTGTAAAAGAGAGAGAACTCTGTCCTTTCAGTGCAAGATACCAAAGCAGATCAGGAAAGTATAGAGAAGACTCAGGGATTTACACAGTGTAGGGGGGAAAAACCTGCAATCACTGGGGCTTGAAAAGCCACAAAGTTGCATGGGAGGCCTTACTGATTCCAAAAGAGCAAAAGATTCTTTAACAGATGATGATAAGTCACTTTATAAGTCACTTTATAAGTCACTTTAACTCTCTTCAATGAAGTGGCTGGATGGGCACACACAGAGTTGTGGTCAATGGTTTAATGTCCAAAAATAACTGATTAAAACAAGACAGTCTGGACAGGGCTTGGAGCAACCTGGTCTTTCCATGGCAGGAGTGTTGGAACTGGATGATCTTTAAGGTCCCTTCCAACCCAAACCATTCTCTGGTCCTCTGATTAACCAATTTCTGGAAATCCAGTGAGGAGTAAAGCTGTGGGAGAGCTCGCTATTGTACTGCCTGAGTTGGTACAGCAGCAAGGTTAGAAAGATGCATTAAAGGTCATTTTTCTCCTGTTTGCTGAATGCCTCCTGGTTTGATATCATTTGTCCAGTGCCTTTGAAATGATTGCTCCAGTGGGAGTAAACATGGGTGTACGTGGGAGTGCCAGGAGCAAACATCCATGTCCGGAGCTCAGAGAATTAGTGGGCTGCAAGAACACCACTAATACTGTCATTAACTTCTATCCTTCTTTCCTTTTGTTCTGCTGGGTTCTTCCTGCCGGTTTTCCTGATCATAATGTGTAGTGTTCTAATGTAAATAACTCACATTCGGTTCTGAGGCTGCTCCTTTGAGACACTGGGCAGCTCTCAGGAGGCTCTCTCAGCCCCAGTAATTACAACTCACTCACAAAATCATGCCATTTGGCTGCATGCCTGTGCTTCACATTTAACTGGCTTTGCCTGTATTCGTGTCCATAGGCATTAGCTTTTATTTCCCGAACAGTTTTTAATCTGTTTAACCTCGTGGTTAATTGTTCTGGAAGACAATGGCATTTTTGAGTCACGTTTTATGGCAGCTCAGCACAGTGAGGTGTTCAGTGATTGTCCTGTTGTTAGAAACCAGCTGTCTCAAACAAATGAGGTTTATCACGTTGGCCGTAATGGACTGATAGTTCCTTAAATACGTATCAATCACAAGGGGAAAAAATATTCAATTTTCTCTCATCAGTAACCTTTTCTCCTGTTTTTTCTTTTTGGGGTGGTGGTTTGGTTGGTTGGTTGGTTTTTTAAAGACTAAAATCCATGGGATTGGATTTGTAAAAATACACGCACCGTGGAATGTATTGTGTCGGGAGGCAGAATTTCTTAAGCTCAAGATGCCCACAAAGAAGGTGAGTCATGATTTTCCTTTTTCCTCCTGAAGGCTTATTTTAAATACATGCTCACCTCAGAGCACCTTAATGATGTTGAATTTTTTTTTTTCTTCCCACGAGCATTTTAAAAATAATTAACTAATCTGCACCAAAAATTCGAGTCACAAACTTGCCTGGGGTAGCAGGAAGAATAAGGGGAAGGAGGAATGGAAATCAAGAATTTCTGTCCACTACCACTATCTGTACATGATGAGAATGATGTCATCCTCAGTGTGTTTTAAAAGAAGAGGTTGCAGTTGATGATGAAATTTCTGTGTGTGTTTTGGACATTTTTTTTCTCACTTGAAGCACCAGACTTCTGAAAATGAATATAAAAATAAGGAATTGTCTTGCTGGGTTTGGTGACTGTTCATGTACATCGTGAGTCACGCTCGCAGGAGTTGGGGGCCACTCTCCCACAAAATAAATTGCCTTTCAGAATATTTGAAATACCATTAAAGAGATGACAGTATATTTTCATCAATTCTAAATCACCCACGATAAATGGCTACCTGTTCAGTGAGCACAGCTTAGAGATGGATTAATATTTAAACACCGACTAAGTGCGTGTCCCAGACTGCAGAGGGAAGTCTATAATGGAGCAAGAGACAGTCTCAAAGCCCAGCATCATTTATGACAACAGTAAAACTGCACTTTTGGTTTGGATTTCGTATTAATCCCCATTATTGCCTCACTCGCCACCGATTTTAGTCAGAAGCACAATTAGGTTAAAAAAACTCTGTTGCCATCCTGTGGTTAAAGCTGCTTTGCCACAAAAGTGAAGTTCAGGTGGGTATTTTGTGAGGGGTTTTTTTTGTGTGTAGAAGAGGCCACCTAACCCTGCAGACATTGCCCAGGAGAAGCCACGTGCCTGGCAACACCCTCAGATCCCAAAACCCTTATTTCCAGCTGGTCTTCCTGTGGTGGGAGCCCTGCCATGGATCTGCACGTAGTTTCTGTGGCTTGGAGAGGGAAGCCTATAATCCTCTTTTTTGACCTGCTAACACAACTCCTGCACTTAGTGCTACAGAACTGCAGTTGGCAATACAGGATTTTTTGGTTCATTTATATGGAAGAGGTGAGACTCCTGAAATACAGCCAGTATTCCCAGGAAAGCCCCCTGGGAGAGTTGTTTTGCAGAGGGGCCCTGCAGCTCCTTTATTTCTTTGTTCCACTGCACACAAAAAATTGTAAAAGCCAGAGGAACCAGTGTCTCAGGAGCCAAATGCTGATTATTTGGAATCAATCACTGGCCAGGTTTTGTCTCAGAGGAAAAGCAATAGGTTTCCCCTGCTTGCCTTGGTTTTTGACTTTCCCATCCATCTCTGTCATCCTGAATGATTTCAAGAAGGTAACCCATGCTCCTTGATTGTTTGTTGGGATGTACTTATTTAACTGCTGCTTTGTTCCTTACAGTTCACCCTGACTTATGGAAAACCAAAAAAACCAACGGAGTTTTACTGTTTTTTCCCTTTGCCCCCTTCAGATGTATCAGATCAACCAGACCCACGGTCTTCTGAAAAAGATTAATTCTGTCATTCAAAAAATAACAGAGCCCATCCAGCCCAAAGTGGCAGAACACAAACCTCAGACGGTGAAGCGCCTCTCCTACCCCTTCTCCAGGGAGAAGCAGCACTTGTAAGTGAAAGCTTTCCCTAAATTTCCACATCAGCAGGTTCCAGCCTCCCTGGTGGCAGCTGAGGCACCAAGAGGTGAATGGGGAAACGAACACCAACACTTCGATAGGGATTACTGCTCCATTTTGCAGCAAATTTACTTTTTGGGGGATTTTCTCTTTTTTTGGCTCACCGTTGAGGACTGAGTCTTTGTAGAGCCACTCTGTGAAATCTCTGTGTGTTTTATCTGCTCTTGTGGCACTGTATAACCGTACACTTCAACTGTTGGGCTGCCAAACACGATTTACAGTGTGGTTTGCAATGGTCTCTTTTCCACGTAAAATAAAATGCTCAGTAAAATTTGTAGCCAGAGATGTGGGCTGATAAGTTTTTTTTAGAGTAATTTCATTTATCTGGCGTGGGCAGCTGACACAGGTTCTGTGAGCCAGGCCTCGCCTTTGAAGCTTTATGAAGTCACTGGTGGCTTTGCCATCGATCTCAGATCAGTAAGAACAGCTGTAAATGTGGGTGTAGGAAAAAATCATAAGGTGGGGTCCAGCCAAAGTTTCTGCTGCCCTGAATTGCTTTGCTTTGCTGCTCTTCCTTGGCCAGAGTCCCAACAGAGTCACTTTGAAGGCTGTGTTTAGGGATGTGCCAGCTGGAACAAATAAGTCCCAGGGCAGGATTTCTTCACTGCACCTACAGTATTTTCAGTTTTTCATCAAGGGGTGCAGAGCACTGATGGAGTTGTGTGTGTGAGTTGGGCCAGTCAACGTGTGTGACATCTGACACGGTGCAGGACTTGCAGGAAATGTGTTTGTTGAGTGTAGGATGTTCCTGCAGTGAAGGAGCCTGGTGGCTCAGAGGAGGTCCAAAAGATGCTCCTGAGCTTGGGTGTGGATGTGCCTTTTGCTGTTTGGCTTTTTCAGGGAGACCAACTGTGTCTTTGCTGAATAAGGGAGGCAGGAGTGGCCTCACGGGGTTTCAGGCACAGAGGAAAATATGGAGATGATTAGGGGAAATTCAAGGCCAGCAGTGGTCAGGAATTCAACTGCAATGAGCATCAACAGTCTCTTTTGTGCAGAAAATCCCCTAAACATACAAACCCAGTAAAATGTATAAGCAGCCTCTTTAAATTATGGGAGTTGGGCTGGATTTTCTTTTCAACAATGTTTCTACAAGCTGCTCTTTAGTGGTAGCTTTGAGAAACCCCCTGGAGAAATGAAAATATTAAAGGGGTCAACAAGAGCAGGAAATTACTGACTTTTTTTTTAACCTAATGGGCTTCCTTCTAATCTTTTAACAGATTTGATTTGTCTGACAAGGATTCCTTCTTTGACAGCAAAACAAGAAGCACTATAGTAAGTACTGAATATAAATAATTTATGGTGGATAGTGCCTTAATTGTTTGTTGTGTTAGCAGCCCCTTTGCCAGCTTTAATACAATGCTTGTTCAAGTTTGCTTTTCTTAACCAAATGCCAGGGTTCTCCTGTGCCATCAGTTATTAAAATTATAAATAAAGCATTTCCACATTTAGCTTATGTGCTGAATAGTGTTTGATGCTAACAGGCTGCTGCCTTTTGGAAAATCACTTGGATCTCCTTTTTAGATCACATTTAATCTGGGACACAGTTTCTTAGCAGAGATATCACCAGAAAGGGATATTTAGATTCTGCCACCAGCTGCCTGCACCCCTGTTGACTCGTTTACCTTTTTGTAACTATGATGTTGCTCTTTTTGCAAAATACTGGGAAATACCCCAAGAGAAATTTCGGTGGAACAGCCAGGTATTTACAGGGAATATTAGTTATAGTTTGGGAGGAGGGGGGGAGTTCTCTAGGATGGTATTAAAAGTGTTGAGGTACATGATTTTTATCTGACTTACAGAGAGTGGGGAAGAAGCCACTGAGGGGGGAATCGAATGGACATCCAGGGCAGCTGGAAGGGACTGTGCCAAGCAGCACTTGCTGCAACACTTTTCAAAGTATAACATGGACTCTTTGCCCCATTCCACTGCCCCTAACCGGTGTGTTGGAATGTGACTGCAGTCCTGCTTTTATCTTGCATTTAACATTAGCCTTGTGGGATGCTGAGTGGTTTCAAAAAGGGCTTATATCACAGTTTAGAGCTGCCTTTTATTGCTGAGGTGATAAGGGGTGTGAGATATCTAACTGTGCTTTCCCGCTTTGAAATTCCAGCGTATTCCATAACGTAGTTCCCCTCTGGCTTGAAGTGAAGTGGTTTGATGTGAGTGCAGGTTGTCAGGACAAAGAGAGCTTGGCCAGGGAAGGCAGATGCAGCAGCACAGAAGTGGGAAGGAGAAGGACAAACATTGATTTGGTTTGTTTGAGATAAAAACATTTAACTCGAGATTGAAAAAATAAATACCAAAAAGGAATAGATTGTAGGCTTTCTTTTATAAATGTCTAGATCT